ACAATATATTGAGGTTTAACTAAGATATAAGTGTTAGAGATATATTCAATATTTATGACAAACACACATTCTTCACATGACCATACGATACCAATATTCACATCTCAATCCATTCCCTTTATTCATTTCAAGTTAGTTCATTTCATTTCAATTCATAGGCCAAGTTTATAATTCTCCGAATAATCCAACAGAGACTATAACTCAGTTGTTCTTAATTAACATAACTATCATACAAGCACTTCAATTTTGCCATTTTACGAAAATTTCGTCTGCAGGATCGGCACCCATGTATACATATGATTTCGGGACTTTTACCCTAGACACTCCGGCCAACTTAATTTCAATGGAGTCCATTCGCTATCTCTTTTCAAAACATGGAATATATCCCCTTTCTCCTCCCAAAACAGTACACATATATAATATATTTAAAAGTACCATCTTATTTAATGACTATCAATTTTACATATTCAATACCTCAACATACCGTCATAGTCAATGACACAATTAAATGATTAGTTTCAATTCACCTAATCCTTATGCAATTTCTACAATAATCATAGTTATCCTTTACCGATAGCCCAATACAGATATTTCTAAACAGATATTCAATCTTTATAACAGATAATTCATCACATTTTCATAGGTGAGTGATTAAACAAATCCAACCACACCATTCATTCATACATTCTTCCAATTTCACATTTCTCATACCAATTCCATTACTCATACAAAATAATTATTCAAGACATGTTAGGCAAATCTCTCCTTTTTTCAAATATTACCCAAAGGCTAAAATCCACTATTCTAACAAAAGATATCCCCATATCCAAAACCCCATAATCATTTGTGTAACACAACATAGAAATCCCTTTTTCAATTTGAGTCCAAACCCTAGGTTTACTCAAATACGCCCAAAATTTCACCATTTATACATAACACCGAATAACTAGGTTAAAGATCATATCAAGGTGTAGAATATCCCTACCTCAAGTATAGAATCCAGAGGGAGAAGTGGAGAAACCTCAAAGACGCCCAAACTGGACTTTATTCGAATCAAATAAAAGCTCATGGAATGCTCTATCTTTTTATCAGAGAGAGTAGGGTAGGGAGATCCTTAGATCTAGGTGTATTTGTAGAGAGAAGTTGAATTTTAGAAAGAGAATGAGCTGATTTAGGGTTTTTGAGTGAAAAGACAATAAAAAGTGAAGTAAAAATAAGATGCTGCGAATTGATATATGCGAGACTTGCTCGAGCAAAAGAGTTGTCGCTCGAGTGACTAGACACAATAAGCGTCCTCGTTCGAGCGCAAGAAACGTTGCTCGAGCACAGAAAACAAATCCCAATAAGTTGTGCAGGCAGAAGACCGTCGCTCAAGCGCAAGAGTTCTTGCTCGAGCGAACAACAACACCCTCCTAGAATCTCTGCAGACCTGAGAAAATACTAGAAGATCACAAAGCTCGCTTGAGCGCAAGAACCTTCGTTTGAGCGAAGAAGCCAATATCAATCTAGACCAACTAGCAACCAACCTGTTCCAAACACACCCAAAACATGTCAATACTCAAACTCAAAGTGTGGAAGGAATAAAAGACATAGATAACAATATTAAACCATGAAACCCAAATCTGGGGTGCAACAATAGTCGAGTCAAAACCGAGATCGTTATAGTCATCTCTAGCGCCTTTGTTGGAGTTAGGTAGGTCGGCTATTAATTTGTACTTGGTGGATCTGGGCTTAAGGTAGTAAGTATAGCCACTCTTCGATTTGAGGCCACACATAATCTAGTAGTATTGGAGGTCGGACAGGGTGATTCCAGTATTTTCTCGACGTGCCAACATGGTAACACCATTGATGACTCTAAAGGTGTTAACAGCCAACTACATGGGGTTAAGTTTATAAAAGTGAAGGACTTCTCTGAAGAAAATGTCAAGGGAAAATCTAATTCCACCATTGATTATGGAGACTACTAGAAATGGGTAGAAGGTCTCTCCTAGCATAATCGAGTCCTCCTTCCCAGCCAACCTGAGGTGGACATCGGCTGGGATAGAGAACTCTTTGTGGAAATACTCAAGTTTACTAAGTGTGTCTACCCTCCACTTAAACATCCCCATGATCTCGGCTGGGGTAATTTGGGTATGATTTACGATGGAAAAGTGTTTAATGTGGGTTCAAAGACCTCGGGAAGCCCCTAATGAGCACTAAGGCAAGAATTCTGGGAAAATCATAGGAGTTCTTATTTCAATTTTCCTAAGGATGTGGTTTCTAAGCAAACCCCAAGCCTAAAACTATAAAGATAAACGAGGTGCAAAGGCAAGAATCTGGAAAATAAACAGAGGAAACAGGATTCAAAATCTAAACGGAGCAGAAACACAGAGAAGAACACAAATATGACAAGAATAGTGCTAGACATTCAATAACACAGATGTGAATAGTGTAATGGTGAGTATTCTGGAAATGCGAACAGAAATATGAATGGCAACCAAGATATGATCCCAGTGTATAGTGGTGTTCGTGACGTGAACAAAATATGGTACAGTAAAACAAAATCTAGAACACGAAAAATGGCAAACATCATCAAAGAAGATTTCTTAGCCATGGATGGAAATTTTGTATGAGTACAACAGTTTAGAAATGAAATTACTCATGGAACAATAAAAGGTAGAAAAAGAAAAAGAATAGATCATAGACTTACCGACTAAAGCCGAGGAAATAGATGACAGAATAGAGATCGCCAAAGTCAGACAACGACAATGAATGGAGCAGAACAGTGAATGCTTCAACAGATGTGGTAAACGGAGCATAGTTGTAAAGCTTCGAAGGGTTTGAAAATGATGGTTTGAGAGAGAAATTTTAGAGAAAGAAACTTTGAGATAAGAAAGAGATTATAATTGCAAAAGTGAAAAAAATGAAGAGAGAGAAAGGGAGTTTTGTAAAAAAACACGAAAGGACGGCAAATCGTAATGAAGGTGCCTTGGACGACGTGCCTGTCAGGTGGCAGGGGCAGAAATGACGTCACCTGATAGTGCGTGCCTGGTACTAGCCAGTAAGAATAGGACATGTGGAAGAAACGGTTGAAATGATGGTGCATGACAGCATATGCGCAGTTGAAACTTTTAAAATTCTTGAAATAGTGAGGCAAGAACCCCGGCTAAAAAAGCGATCTCGGTCGAGATGCTTAAAGAACTTAGTTCTTGATTCTTGGTAAAGTGGGCAACTGAGTCTTGGTTACTTGAAATCGACGAGTCATGATCTCGGTCGGAGTGGTGTCCGCATTTTGAACCGACATGTTATATCGACAAACTATGTAGGTACCATCACCTCAGGTTGTCGAGGTAATAGAACCTAAAGGCAGTTGTGGAGAAGTTTTTTGCGAATGGAACCATGTGGCCGAGATAGTCCTGAGATGTCAACTACGATGCCACGAGGATAAGTCTTGCTACCGAGGTGACCACGGCATTGCCGAGATGTTCTGTGGTAATGCCAAAATCCCGAGGTATCCGAATAAGGGACAAGAGTCTTAGAACAGAAAAGGCTCTCAGTCTGGATAAGGATAAGGTTCATGAGGAGTTAATCCATATCTAGCCGAGAGTCTAGGATGAGCATTGAGTCTGAGTCTAATGAAGTGGGGCTTCTAGAGGAATAGGTAACTGCTAATTATAAAAGTGAGACACCCTCGCGGGTCTGAGGTAAGTTTTTATTTGTGAGTTTTAGCACTATTTTGATATCTATGAGAGATGAGATTTACTGATTTGATTGTCGGAATGCCCTCGGGTGGACGAACCACCACTTTATTCTCATCTTCTTATTGACAAGTAATTGGCTCAAACTATTATGTTTGTACTCTCCAGCAAAGTTTTCCATTTGATTATATAGTCGGAAATCAACACCCACAACTTAGATTCTTTATTGGTCAAATAACAACCTTAAAAACACATAATGGATAAGATATAATGCATAGAAAGGTCCAGATTAAATTTTGTTATGAAAGAATAAACATTCATAATATATCTTAAGTTACTATTGCATTTTTTGGTATCAATTCTGTGAGATTATTACTTAATAATTTTCAATTAATTAAGGCTTATCTTTAGAAGTGATTAAAATTGTCCAAAAAAAAAAAAAACTTTTTATAAATTAAAAAAAATCAAAAAATATTTTAAAAAATCACTTTTTAAAATAGGCTAAAATCATAATAAGAAGTTAATTTAGTTGCGTTGGCGTCGGAATAAAGATTTTTGGAGGAGGGACCCAGTTTCGGTTTACAAACAAGTAGAATACTAGAATAATTTTTTTTATTTTGGCGTACTGCATGTTCGTACAAATGAAGTGTACATTTCAACGTGGGGGGAGGAGGGAGAAGAGCAACTACTTAGAATGAAGTGCCCTTTTTTGTGAGTTCACACCAAAAAGTACTTCACCCGTGGTCCTCACTCACGCCAAGCCAAGGCTACTGCCGCACTGTCTTGATGGAAAATTTTATTTCACTAATATTTGTTTATAGAATCTCCTTTCAAAATAATGTGCCAATTGAGCTTTTTAGAGGGCTCTATGATGTGATATTTTAATATAAAATATTAATTTTACAGCAATATTAGGTATCATAAAAAACTTTTCATGAAAATAATCATGAAATTTTTATGACCCTTGGATTACACTTAGAATAAAATACCACACACTAATCAAGGTAATTCAAGAATCATAAACCTTTCATGATCATTTTTATGAAAAAATTTTCATGATCCCTAATTTTTTTAATAATTTTACTTGGTGTGTCAAAAGTTGATATAGAATTTCACATTAACTCTCTTTAATTTGATTAAATTAGCTATTAGATATTAGCTAACACTAGTTGATTGTCGGGGGGCTCACACCACCAAAATTGACCACCAAACTAACACCCTCAATATGGTCTTATCCACAGACCATCTACTGCCCAAGCACAGCATCTATCTATCTATCTATTAGTATTTATATGGGTTATGTAACAAACCCACCCTCCCACACATCCCTTCTTTTAGTATCAATTATATATCTAGCTACCTCTTAAATTATCTCTTTGTTAGTTTTTATTTTATTTTATTTTTTTTAAATGGAAATACAAGAGTGGCTTGTGCTTTGGTTATTAGGTTTTGCAGTATTAGTACTAGGATTTGGTGGTGCAGCTCCTACCACGGACGCCGACTACAAAGCACACGTGCATACCCAATGCGGTTATACAAGGTTTCCTAGGCCGTGTGTTGAGACATTGTCAGGATTAGGATTAGGATTAGGGTCAAGTAATCAACATGTTGATTTTATGATTGCTCTAGCAAACAAGACTATTTCAGAAGCCCAACGAGCACCTACTCCAACAGGTGCAAAATTAATTAAACAACATATGCCCTTAAATTAATTATGAGAGACATGTTTTACATACAAACAATTAAATTAATAAAGATCTCTTTTTTTCATTTTTGTTTTTGTTTTTGTTTTTGTTTAATGTTGTTTCAAATTTGATGGTGCAGGTTATTGTCCTGAACTCATGAGCATGTCTATGAAGAGGCTAAGGCAGGCGCAATTAGCTTTGAGAGAATCCCCGACGAAAAACAAGCATGACATCCAGACATGGTTAAGTGCTGCTTTGACTTTTCAAGAAACTTGTAAAGAGACAACTGATGCTCATGCTGGTCGCTCTACCGACCTCATTATGGACCATCTCTCTCAATTGAGCAGTAACCTGTTAGCCCTCGTCAACCGCATTACAAGTAATATTTTTTATTATTATTATTATTAAAATAATAAGCAAAGAATTGTGGCGGTCTTGGGATTGTGAAAGCTATGGCTGGCTGCTGTAAGAGCCGTACATAGCTCTTTTGATATTTTTTTCTATTATTAATTTTGTATCGCTCAACTTACAATGATATCATAACCCTATCAAACAACTATGTAAAAATTTATACTCACATGAATCTCACACTCCTAGAAACCACTTCCTATTTCTACACAACATATTATATAATTACAGGTGTTTTTCTAAAAAATTTGTGAATTACAATTTCCAACAGGTAGCAGTGGAGGCGGAGGAGGTCGCCGCTTAGTTGATTATGATCAGATTAATGAGGAACGAGTTGAACTGTTTCCGAGGTGGGTATCGGGCAGAAATCGGAGGCTACTTCAGAGTAACAGCATACAAGCAGACGCCATTGTTGCGAAAGATGGATCAGGAAACTATGGAACGATATCGGAAGCAATACAGGCTGCGTCTGGGAATCGTTTTGTGATATATGTGAAGGCAGGAGTGTATAAGGAGAAAATTCACAGTAACAAAGATGGAATCACGTTGATTGGAGATGGCAAATATTCCACTATCATTGTTGGTGCTGATAGTCATGCCGGTGGCTCTAGCTTGTCTGGCTCCGCTACGTTTAGTAAGATCTGCAACTCTCTCTCTCTCTCTCTCTCTCTCTGTTGTGCTTTCCGAATCATTAACCTTTTTGTCTCTCTCTCTCTGTAGTGCTTTCTGAATCGTTAACCTTTTTGAATCATTTCATGAACACATCAATTGTTTGTGTGCATGTGCCTGACCCATGGGTTATTCAGCCTAATTTAAATGCATTTAAAAACAAAAAAATCAAAGACGTGAACAAAAAATTGATTTTGAACTAAAAGACTTTATTATTTTGGAGGTCAATCATAAAAAATTTATTAAATTTAGTTATCAAATGATGTGTTAGTATTGCATTGACATGATCAACCACACCATATCTTCATTACATTTTGTACTAAAACATGAATGACATGAAAAATTCAACAATAAATAATTAAATTTGAGTGAAAGATTTATCTAGTGCATAATTTTGACTGGAGATCGTTGTTTGAGCTCATCATGAGCTCAATTTTGATGATCTGAACTGCTCATTTTATTGAATATTTTATTTATTTCATCTACATAAAAAAATTAGATCGATTTAATAGTCATAACATTACTCTTAACCCTGCTCTTACCTTAAGATGGTTATGCGCAAACTTTTTGCAACCGGTGTGCTAGAGGCACAAAATGATAATCACATTAATTTTGTTAATTGATAATCAACACTTACATAAATTAAAAAATGAATAATTTGAATCATTAACTAATGACGAGCTGCTCGAACAAAATCAATCGAGTCTATATATATATATATATTTGTGTTTTGTTTTTGGCCATGTTTGGCTTCTTTTTTTTATAAAAAAATCAGATTTTTTTTTTTTAAAAAAATGAAAACTAATTTGATAAAAATAAATATCAAAAAATACTTTTAAATTTTTATAAATTATTTTTGGCCTCTCAAAAGAAAAAATAATAAGTGTTTTTAATTTTTTTTTTATTTTACGAAATTAAATTTTAATATTTTAGAAAAAAAAAATTAACCAAACCAACTATGGCCTTTGTTTTTGTTGGTTTTTTTTTTTTTTCAACACTGCTACAGGACTCGAAATTTTCAACCTCGAATTTGCCCTGAATCCAAAACGACGTCATTTTGGATTATCTTACCGGTAAGAGAATTGTAATATATCTTACCGGTAAAAGAATTTTATTACATGTTACCAGTAAGAGAACCCAAAACGACATCGTTTTGAGTTTTGAGCCAATTTCGAGCCAAACGATTTCGGGCCTTCAAACATTTTTCTTTTTTTTTTTGTGAATTTATGTATTTGCTATTTTCTTGAATTTTGTGTGTGGGAGCTATTATTATATAATTAGAAAAATATTTGAGACCTTAAAAAAATGAAATGTTAATATATCTTACCGATAATCCAAAACGACGTCGTTTTGGGTTTCGAGCCAGTTTCAAGCTTGAAATGTTCGGGCCATGTAGCAGCGTGGTAAAAAAATTACTTACAATTCTATTCATAATGATATAGCAAGATATGTGTCAATTTTTGATTTATTGCACACTTAGATCTTATTTGGCAATATCACTTTTTAGTCTAAAAATCAAAAAGTTACTAAAAAATCAAAAAGCCAACAACTTATATCAAAAGTCAAAAATTTCCTTTTCTCTTTACTTTTTGTATATCTTTTCGTAAAAAATTAAAAAGTCATCCCAAACATACTAGTTTTTTTACATTATATTTTAGTCAAAAAGTCAAAAAGTTACTAAAAAAAAACTTGTTCCCAAACGAGATCTTAATAATGGTGAGTCTAATTCCTATGACACATCATTAGAATGAATTTGTGAGTATAAAGGGTTGTTTGGGATGTTCTAAATAAGTGCACTTTTTGACTTTTTTTTAAAATATGAGTTGGGTTTGAAGTGATATAGTAGAAAGGTGATGTGACTTTAAAAAAATGATATAATTTAAGGCCAAGTTTGGCATTGGCCAAAAAGTCAAAAAGTTATTCAAAAAGTTAAAAAGTTATCACAATTTACCAAAAATTCAAAATTACGGCTGTACAACTTCCAATCTTAATTTTTCCCTACCCCCCTACATACTAATTTATACAATTTTTTAATACACATTTTTTTCACAAAAAGTCAAAAAATTAACCCAAATAATCATATATTTTTTTCTCAATTTTTTAGTCCAAAAAGTTAAAAAGTATATTTATTTAAAACATCCCAAATAATACTCAAATAAAATAATGACTTTTTGACTTTTTTAAAACACTCTAAACCAGAACTTAATATGAAGCTCCTTGTATTTCTCTCTATAATTAATAAAGATGAAAGAGACTAATAAAGATGAAAGAGACATTTTGTCAAGGGTGGTAGATAGCACGTTGCAAGAGTAATGATAGGTATTATAAAAAAGGAAAATGATTGGTAAAGTTAAAAACTTATCATTATTCACCAAAAGCCAAAAATTACGGCTGCACAACTCCCAATCCTAATTTTCCTCTACACACTAATTTATACAATTTTTTAATACACATTTTTCCACAAAAAGTTAAAAAATTAACCCAAATAATCATATTTTTTTTCTCAATTTTTTAGTCCAAAAAATTAAAAATTATATTTATTTAGAACATCCCAAACAATTCTCAAATAAAATAATGACTTTTTGACTTTTGTAAAACACTCTAAACCAGACCTAAATATGAAGCTCCTTGTATTACTCTCTATAATTAATAAAGATGAAAGAGACTAATAAAGATGAAAGAGACATTTTGTCGAGGGTGGTAGATAGCATGTTGCAAGAGTACTGTTAGGTATTATAAAAAAATATACTATAAAAATTATCATGAAAAAATTTTCACTCTTACATTATACATATAAAAAAATACCACATATTAATTAAAAGATAAAAAATTTTCATAAACCATTTGATGATATTTTTTTCATGAACCCTAATATTATTTCATGTTGCAACGTGTGTCGGTAGCAATAACAGGTGACGGATTCATTGCCCGGGACATAGGGTTCCAGAACAATGCTGGTCCTCAAGCACAGCAAGCCGTGGCGCTGAGCATTGCTTCCGATCATTCTGTCCTCTACCGTTGTAGCATTGCAGGTTACCAGGATACCTTGTACGCTCTCGCCCTCCGCCAATTCTACCGCGAATGTGACATCTACGGCACCATCGATTTCATCTTCGGCAACGCTGCCGCCGTCTTCCAGAGCTGCCAACTGGTGCTCCGCCGACCGGGTCACGGTTCCTACAACGTAATTCTGGCCAATGGGAGGTCCGACCCAGGACAGAGCACAGGCTTTTCCATTCAAAATTGTAGGATCACCGTGGGCTCGGACTTTTCTCCTGTGAAAAATTCATTCAATTCGTATCTTGGGAGGCCATGGAAGGAGTATTCAAGAGCAGTTGTAATGCAAACAACAATTGATGACGCGATTACACCAAGAGGGTGGGTGGAGTGGCCCGGGACAGGGAGTTCCGCTCTGCGTACGCTTTATTTTGGAGAGTATGCGAATGTTGGACCTGGGGCTGGGACTTCTGCCAGGGTAAATTGGCCTGGATTTCATCTTCTTGCCAGGACAGAGGCCGTGCAATTCACTGTCGGAAGTTTTATTGCCGGAACTTCCTGGCTGCCTTCTACCGGAGTGACTTTTGTCTCCGGCCTCTAGTCAATGAATTTGATCACCAAACCAAATTATTGGTTGTAGTTGTGGTTAATTCTTATCTGTTAAAATACTAGTGATTAATGTTGATATTGCTTTCCTAGGGTAAGGTATCATGAAAAACCTTTCATGAAAATAATTATGAATGTTTTGTAATCCTTGCATTACACTTAGAATAAACTACCACACACAAATTAAGGTAATTCAAGAGTTATAAATTTTTCATGATCATTTTCATGAAAAAAATTTCATAATCCCTAACTTTTCTCTTATATGAATGTATGCGTTCATTTCATTACCATCTTCGTTGTTGCCGAGCTTTCTTGAATTAATAATGATTATTATTACAATTGGTCTCCTTTTGTTTGGTCCTTGTAATCCAATAATAATAATCTACCCCGCGCATGTTTAAATGTCAGTTTTACTCACATATTAAGAGAGAAAAAATTGCATCTACATTTTACCTTTTGCCAATGTGTGTTGCCAATGCCGTTTACCTTGTCTTTATACTTTGGACCCTTGTCTTTATACTTTGGACCCTTACCTTTTGCCAATGAGTGTTGCCAATGCCAATGAGTATTTTAGTATTTTTATTTTAGGATAAAAATGTAATAAAAAAAATATCATTAAGTGTGTGGAGTAAGAGGAAGAGTGATGTTATTAGCACCTACCAAAATTTTTTGAACCACCCATTTCTTTAGACCCCAACCCTAAATCCTAAATTTTAATAATATTTTGTCAAACACCCCCACTTATTACCAAATCTATCCATATTCATAATATTTTCACAATCAAATGCACATCCACCCAATTTTTCATACCCTCTCCTTTCTTGTTACTTGACCGTCTGTCACCTCTGTTTCATCTCCTCTGCACCAACCTGAATCCGTTCCATTTCTTACAGAGTGCTGCTTGGGATTTTTTTTTTTCCTTACAAAGTGATGCTAAAATTCATTTGGTGGAAATTCAACACTTTAGAACCGAACCGGCATTATAGTGCTGAGACAAGTTGTAGACTTTTTCATCTACCATCAAAGGTATAATTTACTTCTCTCTTCTCTTCAATTACTCATGACCACACAAACAAAAACCTTTTACCAACCAAAGTCACAACCACACAAAATCCTAATTGTGGGAGAATATTATAATGTAATTGATGGTCTGATTCCACATAAAATTCAATTTTTTTAGGGAATAGAGGTTTGAATATTATAATTTAATGGATGGCTTGAATATTATAATGTAATAGAAGTCTACATACCAACTAGAAATAAAATAAAATAAAAATATCAGAACCCTTTGTCTTTTGAAAAATTTGCTTGGCTGATCCTTTGTCTTGGAGTGTTTGGTATTTTGGTTGTGTTTTCTTTATGCATGAAGAAAGCAAAACTAAGGCACGCCAAAAACTTATCTGAATTTTCTACACACAAAAAAAAGGGAAAAAAGAGGGAAACAGGGCAGCAACCTGCTAGATTTTTTAATTCACATTTTTAGCTTCTTTTTCATGTATTTTTATACATTAACTTATAGCCACATAATCACACAACATTTGTACTAGCTGTCTTCCACATAAACTAACTCTAATTAGCACAATACACATCATAAACCTAACAAGAAGTAGGTGGATTGTTTGAAAACAATGCACATTATATCAACATGGAGATACATGTGATTATATTGCAACTATAGGCTTTGGGCCATTGTTAAATTTTCTTTAAAGTACTTATAATCAATGTGAAATGTCCTAAGAAGCAAAACACACAACTTTCGTTGTGTACTAAGCCTTTTTTGTTTTTAATACCAAATTTCATTGTTTAGGCTCTCAAATTTTTGCACTTTTTTTTGGAAAACTTTGTTTTTGTCTATAATTTTATTTAGGACTTTTTGTTTTTAATGACCTTTCTCTTGGTATGCTTCTAATGCATTATAGTTCTCAAACTTTGGTCCAACTCAAATTTCTTATTTTTAGTAATTTCTTTTTATCGTTTATTCATTTTGTGTTTGGCAAGAAACTATTTTAGTTTGTTGTTTCCTATTCGAATTTGTATCTTTTCTAAAGTTGTCTCTAATTGATATCTACATACATAAAAATACATGTATATATACTTCTGACCATGCATGTTTTTTTGCCTCATTGGTCATGACACGCCTATTTAAGATAGGCTTGGCTTACAAGTTATACATATAATGTTCCTAGATGACATGCATTTTCGATACATAGGAAGAACTAACTCTATATTATTAAGGGTAACTGATATTGGATAGATTTGCTTACATTGTCATTGACTAACATCTAATTGTACTTGGTGGACAGCTATGGTGGAAACTGCTTGAGATCGATACATAGGGAAGACTGACTCTATATTATTAAGGGTCAATTCTCTATTTGCGACAATAACAGAAGAAAGAGTATTTTCATTCATGGCACTACGCAAAATACCAGGTGTTCATGCATAGTTATCCTTTTTCTCATACTGGAGGTATGCAAATGCAACTGAAAATGTCATGTCTGTCAATGTTACATCTACAATCTCCAGAAGGGGCAACCGATATCGATTGGTCTTATAAGTACAATTCATCAACAATACTTTTGGAAATGCACGTAACAAATTCAAACTAGTAGGATGTGCAAAGAACAAATCAGTCACTGTCTCAGTATCTACATAGCTCCTATGCCACTCAATGTACTTGTTCACCGCTAACTGACCTAATAGTTATTGCATTTGAGATCTCCCAGCTTTCTCAGCAACTTTATACCTATGACGTGTATTGTAAATTGTCTTCATTGTGGAAGCATTTGCATCATCACGTTGTTTCAATGTAACCAATATCTCACTCGGTCGTATACTCTTCGACATGTCTACCAACAAAGAGGTTTCCTCATGTGACAACCTTCCAGCATAAGAATAACCCTCAAGATATTCTGCAGCAAGATGATTATGCACACCACAAACAACCATCAAGATCTAGTCATCATTTGTGGCTAATTTTTTTCCCTTCAATAAAAAATGACATTCACATTTTTTTGTACCAGTCAGTCTTGCTTTTTTTGTCTTAGGCCTACTATTTTTTCGAGTGTCCTTATAAGATCCACTCATCTCACAAGCTAAGCTAAGTCTTGGCTTCCAACCATGAATATCACTCCCATCTGATTTTTGTACGACAATAACGAATCCATTTCTTCTTCCAACTTGACGTTCCCATTGAATTAACTTATATCGACTCTTAAATATCTGAAATAAATAAATTAAACTAACCTTATTGCACATAAAAAAGGACAAAAAATGTACATTATTTGTAAAACAATCAAAGACTCACCTCATGAGTTACAAATTCATTACTATAATCCATTACAAGTTCTGAATCAACCTTACTGCTTCTAGTCGAAGCATCACCATGAAAACACGTGTGAATGCAATTTCAAAATTGAAAAAATGATGTTCAGTTGAACAGTCTCAAAACTAATGGTTTTGTTTAGTTCAACAGTGCCAAAAATAAAGATGATATTCGGTTCAACAGTACTGATTATCTGCATTAATGTTCAGAACCTATGTATTGAACGAATGGATTTTGTTCAATACTATATTAGTGAACATAATTCTAACAGTCAGTAAACCAGTATCGAACAGCTCGAACAAAAGAAGAACGATTGAAAATGATCGAAAATGTTAATGGAAGACAGACAAACTTACTAATAGATTGCCGGTCTCATTAGAATTGTTGTCCTCTTCTTCCATTGCTCTACACAGTGAAATAAGTGATGAAGTATACATTATACTTGAAGCAAAACTTTAAAGTTCCGTAGGGTTGATGATGGTGATGAAAATGACACATTCAGGGTTTAAGATAATTAAGAAAAATAATAGATTTAGGATTTATGTTGGTTGGTTATGAAGAGTAATTGGTTTAGGGTTTACAAACATGGAATACGTATAGTTGGAGGTGGAGGTGGAGGTGGAGGTGGGTGTCCAATATTATAGAGTATTATTTCTTTGATAGATGGGTTTTCCATTTAATAATGTATTTTACTGTAATTTTACTTTATGGTATAATTGTAATAAAAAAATTATAAATTGGGGGGGTCCAAAAATTTTTGATATGTACTAGTAGTAGTACTCTAAGAGGAATTAGTAATTGAAAATAGAATTTCTCCACTTTATCCCTTATCTTTTAAAAATAGTCATATCCTCCATGTGATTTTGAATTAAAATGCAACGAACTCAGTTAATGTTAACAATAAAAAGACAATTATACCCTTGGCGTCTTCTTCTTCTATTTTTGGCTCTCTTTGTAAGTAAATAAATAAATTTACCTCCATGACTAAGCCAAAAAAATTAAAAACATAACACAAAAATCATTTAAAAGACTAGAGTATCCCAAATATTTTTTTTAACAAACTTACTTTTAATTTTAATTAGATATTATGATATAGATATATATAGACACTGCAATTAATTTATGATTTAATTTATTAAATATATATGTATATATATGTACGGGTTTAATTTAAATTGTTATTAAATAATAAGTTGAGTTAAAATTAAAAATTAGATTAAGGTGTTTTCATGATTTAATTTGTTAATATATGTGTGTGTATATGTTTAATTTAAAATGTTATTAAATAATGTAATTTTATGGTAATAAATTAGAGTGTTTAGTTTAATTTATTATTTAATTTGTTATATATATGTATGTTTATTTTTTATTTTAAAATATTATTCTGTAAAAAAAAAATTGGATTAAAAATTACAAATTAGATTAAAGTATTTTGATGATTAATTTTTATAATAATAAATTAAGGTATTTAGATTAATTCATGATTTAATTTTTTATATTATATATATAATATGTATGTTTAATTTAAAATGTTATTAAATAATAAGTTGGGTTAAGATAAAAACAAATAGGCATGTGAGGCACACTTTTCCGTTGGTTTGAATAGAAAATATAACTGCAGCATTTTAGTCCAAAGCATGTGACTATTTTTAAAAAACAGGGGAGTAAACTACTATCGGGTCATACCACAAAGGAGTAAGGTAAATTTTGCCCTTCTTTTTTTTCTTAGGTAAATTACATTGACTTTCCTTGGGGTTTAGGGAAAAATAGAAAATCCCACAATTTTGATATAATTAAGTTTTCTGATTTATTAGTTATATAGATGAGAATATTATGTTGTCATCTGTTTTACGTAAAAATATATTTACGTTGTTTGTGTTTTCACACTATTTGAATTAGAAACTATCCACTAAATTGAGAAAGTTTTTAGTTTTTTCCAGTATTTGAATTAGAAATATT